ATACTACCACCAGTATCCGTAACTATCCTATTTCACCGCTCTCCGTTATATCCTCCGTCGCAGTCTTCGCTTAATCCTCAACTTGATACTAGTATCCTATTTCACCACTCTCCGTTGTACAACTTGATACGTTTCACTATCAGCAACACGTCTACCTGTATTCGCGTACCTATTCACAATGCACAAATATATGTAAAAGCTGAAAAAAGGCGGGTGAGTGAAAGGTAAATGAACGCATCGTTTAATATTGCCCTTGATAATATCCTGTGTTCTTCGTCTTCATTGCTTAGCTCGGGCTCGTAGACTATCTACGACGCCCTTTTTTTAATGTATTATTTTTTTTTATTTATTTTTTTTAAATTTTTTTTTTCGGGCGATTAATTTGCGGGTTAATGGCCTTTTTTTTTTTCTTTTTTTTTTTTTCTTTTTTTTTTAAAAAAAATATAAACAAAATAAAAACAACATTATCGTATCGTATATATCGTATATTATTAAATGAAAAGTGAGAATGTACAATTAAAAAAAATTAACAAATGAATATTAAAACAATAAAAAATTTTTATCTCTTTAAAGAATATTAAATTATTAAAGTTAACCGTTAGTAATATTTATGCTATCAAAATAAATTATAATGGAAGTCAATGTAGGAAAAAAAAAAAGCTTTTATTCTTCTTGTGGCACATGTTTTCGTCCGCTTTCTCTGGATTTCATCAAAACCCCAGTTTCCAGTGGCCGGCAGCAAATCATCTAGCACTATTTTGAAGCTATCTCCAAGGTTAAATAATTAAAGGAAGTGTTATTAGTTGGCTTCTTCGAAAACTGTCTTTGAAAGATTTAGCGAAGGTGCATCTCAAGATTTCCCTAACATTATCATCTGGTATGAGTGGCTTACGTTTTGCATTTAGTTTAACCTAACCTTAAGACTAAATACATCATCATTGGATGCCAATATTCCAAAGGCAAACATGTTCTCTTTGCCATGTTTCCTGATTTCTAATTTCAAGTTCTGTATCGACATCATCATTCCGCATTCAAACACAAACTTTGGCCAGGGCAGTTCACGACCCAATAATCCACGATCATTTCAAAATTTATAAAGTACAATAAATAATAGTGTCCGGGACTTGATATGAACCGAATTAATGGGATATAATCTCTTACCCTGCCACATCATCGACCAAGCCTTTGCCGTGTTATTAAATTGTATCCCTCAATAATATAAATATATAAATAAAAAAAAGCAACAATAAATTTCGTAAATTCAATTATTTTATTGTTAGTGAAAATAAAACGCATTTTATATATTAAAATTTGAAAGTAAAAAAATGATTTTGCTCGAGGTTACTTACTATTGGTCAATTATACTTTAATATATTATATTTTTTACTAGTTATACTATTATTATTTTTTAAATTAAAAAAATTATTTTTATAAATTATTATTATTTTTTTATCTATAGCTTTTTACAATAAAAACTTGGGTTCTTACAATTTAAATAAAACAAGTGTTATTTTTGAAAAAAAGTAAAACTGATATATTATTATTTTCTTATTTATTAAAAAAATAATTAAACTCTATTTTTACTACTCTTTTGTTATTATTTAAATTTTAATAATTTTTTTTTTAAAAATTTTAAGAAATTTTATTTATTTCAATTTATTTAAGCAATATTAATTAATAAAAAATATATTTTTAAAAAATATTAACAAGATTTTATAATTTAATTTATTTTTTGTTTTGTTTTGTTTTTTTTTTTTAATTTATAACTATATTATATAACTTAATCTTTATTGAAAAATTTATATACTGTAACTATCTATAATGTTATATATTTTTTATATAATGATTAACTTATTATTGTACTAAAGTACTTTAA